GCTTCTCCTGACCGCGTGAGTTCTCGCCCCCCTACCTGTTCGAAAACGTCCCAGGCTCACCAGAGAGTCATGTAAGAATTTCACCTGTTGCCTTGTGGTCAGAAAATAATGAAATTTGAATTTTTTGTGTAGTTTTAGTTGTAGAAGTGACAAGTAGACCACTATGAAATGTTCCTGAATTAAAGAGATATTAGAGATTTTATTTTTGGGTGAGGTGGAGGGGGGTGAAATTATTGCTGTTAGCCGTGAATTATTCCTTTATTCATCTTGTGTTTTCTGTACAAGGGAAGAAATACACCGCCCTCCTGTTGATCAAATTTTTTGTATACAAGATATTTATTTTATATATATTAGACTTTATTTTAGAGGACTTTTAGGTTCACATTGATCTGCTAATTTAGATTCTACTCAAGTGAAACAGGTTCACGTTATTTTAATGTAATTTGAAATGCTAGAGTTCTCTGACAGGGATGAGTTGTTGAATTTCAACTCCTCGAGCTGCTGAAAATTCTTGTTGTTTCCCGGTGTAACTGTTTAATGTTTGTACTTTCAAAGTGAGTCATTCCATGGGCTTTCTTAGTCTCTCCAAGATGGACTCAGTTTGTGTAGAGAAAGTCGGTGAGTTTGTGTTTCCTGGTGGAGACCATCCTTCTGCTAATTTGGGTTTTGATCATGACTGTTATGTGTAAAATAGCCATTGTTTGAAGGAAATAACTATTAAAAAATAAAGTTTTAAAACATGACCTTATAAAATCACTGGTCCTTCATGCATTTGTGTTACAGTGCTTAGAAATACTCAGTTGGAAAGGTGGTTATGCATCTAGAATTGTGAAAGTGCTTCCCCTTTGTAAGCAATAATACACCACAAGTTATTTTGACTTGTACAGTAAACTGAATTTTATAAAGACAAACAGTTAAACAGTTTTGATTTCTTTGGTAATATTTCTGAAATTTAAATAGAGCTTTAAGCATTAGTTTGGTTATTGGCTTCAAAACTAAAGCTTTTTTTAAAATCAAAAGCATGCAGTTATTAATCAGCAAGAACACTAATATTTTTGCTGGTAAAAGATGACTGATTTTATCTAGTTCCTTTTTCCTTTTTGTCTTGCAAAGTCTTTTAAAATGACATACTTTTGAAGTTACATAGCTAAAAATATGCCTAATGTGATAAACTTCAAATTCTACTTAGCGATAAAAGCTTGATGATAGGTTTTCAATTAAGATTATGGTATTTCCCTTATAAAAGCTATTTTTGTGAAAATGATCTTTATGTGGGTTGTGTGTGTGATAGTAATAGCATCTGGCTTCTGTCCTTGTCCTTGCCAGTGTCTTAGATCATTGTAAGAGTGGGGTCCTGCCAGTGTTTCATATCCACCCTCCCTGTCCACTTCACAGGATGGCAAATATAAATTACTAGAGGGCAATATGATCAAGTAGAAAGAACATTGCATTGGAAACATAAATAGGCTGGAGTCTGGATTATACCATTTAATGAGCCACCCACCAAAATGTTTCTCCATCTCCAGGTTGCATATAACATTCCCAGCCTACTTAGCCATGATGTTTACACAGAGGCAATGAAGTATGTCAGAGCACTTTGTATGATTATAAGATATGGCAAATTGAAAGTATCATAGGTACCAAACACTATCTTAAATTAATGCAAACAATATTATGTAACTCTACCTGGCTTTTCTTCTGTTTCTCCCTCCTTCTGACTTGTATATGTTCTCCTGAATTTTGTTTAATAAGTCATCCATTACTAACTTTGTGATCTTCCTATGCGAGGGAATCCCTTTAACTTTCCACTCTAACTAATGCTGCACAATGTTAACAAACTGTAGAAAAATTAATGCATAATTTCATCAATAGGTCACCATCATGAGTTTCAGTGTGGACATGCTTTATGTGAACTGTGTTTATTAACTGAAGAATATAGCAAAATTATATGCCCTGCTTGTGAGGTAAGTTTTACCATCTTTCATATTGAATACATTAAAACCTAATGTTAAAGGTAAAAATGTTAGCAAAATAAAACATATTTCTGATTAGAAACTTTTTAATTGCATTTTTACTACTGAATCTTTAAGCCAAGAAGCCTAACAAAATACAAAGCTTTTCCCAACCATTTTATAATTGTTCAAAGTGATCAAGAAGAATACCCAGTTAAGGTCATACATTAATCAGCATACATATTTTGACTCTGAGGAGAATTCTGTGGAAATTTGGTTCTCACGCTAGCCGACTTAGGTCAGTGGATAAGAGCATCAGCCCATGAACTGAAGGGTCCCGGGTTCGATTCTGGTCAAGGGCACATACCTTGGTTGTAGGTTCCCTGGCCCTGGTTGGGGTGCATGCAGGAGGCAACCAGTCGATGTGTGTCTCTCACATCAGTGTTTCTCTCAGTCTCACCCTTTCCCCTTCCACTCTCTCTAAAAAATCAGTGGAAAAATATCCTCGGGTGAGGATTAAAAAAAGAAAAGAAAATTCTATTTATTTTAATTTTAGTGAAGTATTCAAATCTGTACCCTTTTTTCCCACATCAAAACTATTCAAATTTTGAACACCACCTGCCCCTCAATCTTTGTGTATTATCAAATTTATATTTGTAGAGATGCCATAGTATAAAAAGAAAAACAAAACAGTGGCCTAAAGTTAATGTTTACTTCAAAAGCATGAAAAATAGTACAGTTGCACTAGAACTAAAATATGGACCCATAATAATGAGAAAAGGTCAAGGATTTAAAATAAAATTTAATGAACATTGTTTCCATTTGCTACACATACAAATGGAACTTGTTTTATATAGTTTAGTATGTTTCAGGAAAGTTGTCTTAATCTCTAAATTCTTAATGTTCCACTTGAGAGATCAGATGATGCGGGTTTGTATTTATTGTTTTCTGTAGCAGTGTGGCAAACAATTACTCTGGAGGCCGAAGAGGTGGAATACAATCCTAGTTCTGTGACACTAACCCAGGGGTGGGCAAACTTTTTGACTCGAGGGCCACAATGGGTTCTTAAACTGGACCGGAGGGCCGGAACAAAAGCATGGATGGGGTGTTTGTGTGAACTAATATAAATTCAAAGTAAACATCATTACATAAAAGGGTACGGTCTTTTTTTTTTTTTTTAGTTTTATTCATTTCAAACTGCTGGATCCGGCCCGCGGGCCGTAGTTTCCCCACGGCTGCACAAGGTTCCTTATTTGTCTGATGGAAATAATACCTGCTTTATCTCATAGGATTGTAAGAGTCAAATTTGAAGTATGTAAAAGTTCTCTACAAGCTTCAAGATCATTAAAATAAGTGTTCTAGTCAACCCTTGGTTATTTAGGTGTGGATCAACTGGTTTGCAGGTTAAACATGGTAAAAATACATTATACATATGTATATAAATTTGTGAAATTTTAATTGTAGCAGAAACATGTACATATTAGAAGATGTCTGTTTTAGAATTACATACTTTTACAAATTAAGGCCTTCATTGTGGGAAATTATTTTTTTTATTTTGTTTTGTTAATCCTCAGCAGAGGATATTTTTACCATTGATCTTTAGAAAAAGTGGAAAGAAGAAGAGAAAGGGAGAGAGAGAGAGAGAAACATTGATGTGAGACAAATGGATTGGTTGCCTTCCAAGGGCACCCCACCTGGGGCCGGAGTTTAAACCTGCAATCCAGGTACACTCCCTTGACCAGTAATTGAACCTGCAACCCTTTGTTGCTTGGGCCAACGCTGTAACCACTGAGCAACAACAGCCAAGACAATTGTGGGAAATTCTTATTCCCTTTCCTTTCTTGACAGTAGGTTCCTATGTGGTTGGCTACAAAGCTAAGACAAGGGGTGAAGGGATCTAGCTCTTGTAGTTGTAAAGGAAGATCCCTGACCCATTCCATCTTGTGATGGGAAAAGAGTAAGGGAAAGGGAAGAAGCAGGCAGCCAGAACTGTTTCTGCCCATACCCATTCTGTTCTAATATTTAAACACAGTCAAATTTATTATAATAACTTTTTCCCGTTTTTGGCAAATGATTTCATGTTTAATGGTTTTAAAACATTATACTGTATTATTTTGGCTAACATCTATACAAATGTTTATAGTGTGTTTACAAATACTGATTTTGATTTTAAGGTCGTGATAAATCTATTTGGTATCATTCTGACTAGTTCTGACTCTGTCTTTGGGAGACATGTGATTTGTCTCATCCTTCCATTCTTTCTCCCCCTTCCTGGTGCTATTAGCAAGGGACTATATTCAGATTCTTCAGACGCACTAAAGCTGAATGCTATTTAAAGGAGTCCTTCAAGAAACCTTCCTGAAATTGTTACCACTCTTACTAGTTTTTAAAGTTTAGATTTTTGATGATGTCTAGTATTTATATGGAATAAGAGAGAATGGGAGAATCTAGTGTAAATTAATGAGAGTGTGAATGTATAGAATACTTAAGGAGTATAGTTTATTGCTTTTAACTTACGTATGTACCCTAAAAAGTATGTGCCCTATAAAGATTTAAGTAGCTGTATTTACATTAGACTTATAATTTATCTGTAATGTTTAAGGTAATGTTATTTATTTCAAACTTAAGCCTAAAATGATTTCATTCAGGATTAAGGGTATGCATTTGTCTTTATTTCTGAGTTTGGTTGAATACTATTTATCTACCATTCTTTATCTTTTATAGTTGTATAGGGTTTTTTACTATCCCTTCTGTGCTTTGATTGATATTAATGGTTAATAACTAGAGGCCTGGTGCATGAAAATTCATGCACTGGAGAGGGGTCCCTCAGCCCGGCCTGCCCTCTCTCACAGTCTGGGAGCCCTTAGGGGCGGGAGGGGACCCGGCGATCAGGGAAAGGCAACGCCCCCATCACACCTCTGCTGCCGCCACTGCCAGCAGTGCAAGCCTCTGCCAGCCCTGGTTACCTGAGCCTTGGGCAGCCCTGGGTGGCTGGGCAGCCACCATCTGAGGCTTGCCTATCCCTCAGGCATTGGCTGGGTAGCCACCATCCGAGGCTTGCCTGTGCCTCGGGCATCAGCTGAGCAGCCGCCATTTGAGGCTTGCCTGCGCCTCGGGCCAGCCCTGGGCAGCTGGGCAGCCACCATCCAAGGCTTGCCTGCGCCTCAGGCTAGCCCTGAGTGGCTGGGGGGCTGGGGACTCTGGAGGCAGTTGCATGGGGCATCAGCTGCAGCCGCCATTTGAGGCTTGCCTGCGCCTCGGGCCAGCCCTGGGCAGCTGGGCAGCCACCATCCAAGGCTTGCCTGCGCCTCAGGCTAGCCCTGAGTGGCTGGGGGGCTGGGGACTCTGGAGGCAGTTGCATGGAGCGGCAAGACCCGCCTGGGGGTGGGCCTGGCTGTGCTGTGTGCCTGCCACCCTGGCGGGGCTGAGAGGGCTGAGTGCTGTCATCTGTGGCTGTGGGCACCACCATCTTTGAGGGCATGGCAGTCAATTAGCATATTCCCTCTTTATTGGCTGTGGGTGCTGCATCTTGTGAGGGTGTAGCGGTCAATTAGCATATTCCCTCTTTATTAGTTAGGAGATCCATCCTATAATTTTGCACGGCAAGGTGGCAGATTTTGTTTCAAATAGGATCATACTTAGGCATCATTCCAGAAATACCAGCATTTTATTTATCTTTCAGACCTGAGTCCAAAAATATATTGTGCACAAAGAAAGGATAGTTTATCCAATCAACAGATAATCCTATCTAATAATAGACAAAGATTGAAATTAACTATACCTCTGCTACACTTCCCATTGGCTAATCAGCGAGATATGCAAATTAACCACCAACAAAGATGGCGGCTGGCAGCCACAGCCACGCAGCTGAAGCGAGCAGTAGGCTTGCTTGCTCCAGTTATGGAGGAAGCCAAGCTTCCTCCCCGCTGCTGCTGCAGCCAGGCTCTGAGCTCCACTCTAAGCAACAAAGTTGCAATTATAGAAGCTAAACAAACCCCAGATACCTGCTTTCAGCAGGCTGTGGCCTTGGAGCTGGAGCAGCAACAAAGTTTCAATTATAGAAGGTAAATAAATCCCAGAATAATAAAGAAAGGAGAGTCTGGGAGCTTCAGTTGACTGAAGGAC